AGAGAGAGAGAGAGCGAGAGAGAGAGAGAGAGAGAGAGAGAGACATCAAAGTGGAGTCAGCAGTCTTAACCGTGGCTTGTGTACTGCAAACACATACCAGCTTCATCACTGTGTCTGTCACGCGACTCTGTTCCCCTTTCGGGCTTGAACTGATGGTAAAACTAATGACATTATTTACTATCTTTACATTTATTTTGAAAGATGAAGCTCGCAATTATGGTAAGGGGCGTTACATTTCCGACGAGTGCTTGCGGTGTTCGGCCAATCACAATGCACTGGGTCAGCTGGCCAATCAGAGCAGACTGCGCTTGTCGGAAGGAGGGACTTTGTAGAAAACGAAGCGTTTGAGAGAGGCGGGGCATAGAGGACCTGCAATAATGTACAGTATTTGAAAAATAATGTGTTTTTTGAACATTAAAGCATGTCAACATATTCTGTTACACCAAATACACAAAATAATGATCTTTTAAAAAAGCATAAGACCCCTTCAATGTACCAGACGATCTACAGTACATTGCTCTCATTTACCCGCCTTTCCAAAGGGTTTCCATAAGCAAAACCAAAACACTGTTGCAATACCCCAAGATGACAGACACCACTCAATCAAATGCATGTGCAGAAGCAAGATAATCTGACTGCGGACCGTGCTGACAGACGTTATGCTACACTCATATTGCACAGTTTCCTCAACGACCTCCAGCACTAGATATGAGTGTTCACACGGTGAGACAGACAGAAGTGAGAGCTGTCTCACGTTTTCCAGCACTTCAGACACCCGGCTCGCTCTGTTATTTAGCAACGTCGACATGGAGCTTCATATATGCCCACACATGACAGGGGGCAGCGATGCAGATTTGTTATAATATATAATGCAGTCATGCGGTAATAATATTAATGTGAACAGACCGCGAGTCACATTCGCGCTGTATGCCAATATACTACTACCTTAGCTCTCAGTCCAACACACGTAAGAGTCATTTTATAATACCATATACAAGTTTCATAAAATTCTATAATCATACCGGTCAATAAACATGTATTAAACAGTTATAAACGTGCATTATTCTGTAGAGCGTCGCTAGCTCGCTAACACGACTAGCATTTACCTCAGCTAACGTTACCTCAAAAACAGCCACAGGGCCGCGATTCTCATTAACTTCCTTGTTAATAAATAATTATCAACTATATTAAGCGACGTATCATCTTAATACATGCTACAGAGGAGCTGTTGGCGACTCAGCTTGAAACTCCACGGAATCCACGAAGGGCTTAATGGAAATATTTAGGTATCTTACCACCTCCTCTTGAGTTGTCAGGGCTTCCGCCATCTTGAAGCCTGAGCAGCAACGTCTACGGGCGCGCCCTCTCAGCTGTCGGGAACTTTTGTTTTTCTTCTTTTTTTTTCTTCTTTTTTAATTTTTTTTTATTTGAAGTATAACAAAAAATTACAAGTTTACAGAAAAAATTGGCATATACAACTTACATTCAAGGACATCATTTTCAAGAGGGGCTTAGACTTATATGGAGGACGAAACCTGCAAAAACAATAAAAAAATAAATACACAAATAAATACGCAAATAAATAAATGTCTGTATAAATACACAAATTCTTGTTTAAATACATATAGAAATAATTAAACGTGATTAAAGTAGGCAAATAAATAAAATAAATTGATGGACAAATGGAAAATGTTTAAGGAAATGCTAAACTCATCCTATTTATTTTCCTTTGATCACTCATTTATTTATGAATGTAGTTCCACATTTATTTTTCCTCTGCGCAACATGCTAATGAGAGCGTGTCAACTATGGACTTGGTCGGGGGGTCATGTCATAGCTGGGTGTTAATCCAGTATGGCCTACGTAAAGTCACTTTTTCCGTTTAACAGAGCAAGATACATAAAAAACTGAGCTGTATGGTCCGTACAGTATCTGTGACTTTACAAACGACCCAAAGAAATGGCCAGGTTCCTGACGTCATTTTTTGTAACCCGATTGAGTCTCCAGCTAGAGACAACTGTAATATCAGTATCCCCCGGTCATCGTGAGACGACTGGTATGAAGTGGTTTAATCGAGGAACAGACAGTTTTTTCCCATTAGTTATCAGAACAGAAGATACAGGTGACAAAAGTATGTTTATTAAGCAAATAACGGTTCAGTATTGCAATTAAGAGCTATGTAAGCATTAATATTTTACATTGGTCACTTAAAATCTTTTATGATTAAAAGATCATAGCGCTCAAGCAGGTCACACACGATCCGCCTACTCTTGCATAATTGACACGCTCTCATTAGCATGTTGCGCAGAGGAAAAATAAAATGTGGAACTACATTCAGAAATAAATGAGTGATCAAAGGAAAATAGTTTTCCATTTGCCCACCAATTTAAATTATTTATTTGCCTACTTTCATCACATGTATAATTATTTATTTATGTATTTAAACAATGCACAATTTATTTATTTATTTGTGTATTTATTTATTAATTTTTTTTGCAGGTTTCGCCCTCCATAGACTTATACAGAATACAAATAAACATGCATTCTTTAAACCATCTATATTAATAAATATAGATTAAACACAGGGGATAAAAAAACATTATAATAAATTATATTTATCAAATAAATCAAACAAGATTGCAGCTTTTTTATTTTTTGTTTTTGACAACGTTTTTGAGTATTGTCTCAAATAATTCTTAAATACTATAAACATGGGGGGTGATTTAAAAAAATCTACACTTGAGAATAAAATTCTTCGCTAACAAAAGTAAAACATTAATCAACAAACCTTTTTGACCACCTTCTTCATAGTTTCCATACTTAATATCTATAAAGGACAGGTTCAATTCAACCACATTTCCCTCTTTTAACCATAATTGCACTTTGTCCCAGAAGACACTAGAATATTTACAAGCAAAAAAAAAAATTATCTGTATTATCTGGAGATGAGTTACAAAATTGACAATAAAATTGACAATACAATTTAAAGTGAGATTCTCTCAGCTGTCAGAGCGGCGTGCATGAGGATGGCGCGCATGCGTAGTAACGAGTTAACCCATGCTTGGAAGTTAGTACACAAGATATTTATGAACTTTAGTAAGTAGGCAGGAGGACAATAGACCGGAGGCAGTATACTCTTCAAGATAGAAATCTGTGACAATCTAATTGTGTACAGTTATCAGCTAGACTAACTTAGTTTGTGACCTCATTTGCCCCTCAACTGTCCCAGCTGGCCGGTTAGCTCAGTTGGTTAGAGCGTGGTGCTAATAACGCCAAGGTCGCGGGTTCGATCCCCGTACTGGCCACACATATATTTATGAATTTACAAGCACATGTTTATTATTTAATGTGTGGAGGCTCTAACAAATCTTATGTCTGAACGTGTAATTCTGTTCAATTACATGGTTAGAAGTTTTAATTACCTGTTTAAAGCAGTAAACCATTTCTGAGAAACACTGTTGATATTTGAAATCACTAAAACAAACACCTCCATACCCACAAGAATCACACCTCTATCTTGATAGCTCCAGAACATGGCCATAGGCTAGAAGTGTTTTGGTGTTTCTGAGAAATTGTTTACTGCACCTTTAAGTTACTTCACATTTACTATGTGTCCGAAATCACATACTCGAGTAGGTACTTTTTTGATGAAGTGATTACTTCGCCACCACAAAAAGAGTATGTGTGTAGTATGAGTGTAATCTGGACGTACTACATTCGCCATGTTGTCATTGTTACATGACCTAGTACCAGCATCAGTTGTGTCACATCATTGCCATTCACCAATCCTCTTCCGTGACCTCAAGGGATAGTAAAGTGTCCATCGAATGCACACTTCAGAATCACACTGGAAGTAACAAGTCATCCGGGTACTTTTTGCCTACTCTTTTATGAGTACCGTCATACTTCTTTTGTCACATACTGTTTTTCGCCTAGTATATAGTAAGGAAGTATGTGATTTCGGATGCAGCCAATAACTTTTCTTTAGTAAGTCGAAAAACAAAGAATTCCGTATTTTCACATTTAAGTTTATTTTATAGTACAAAAAAGAACAAATAGTGTCCAGCGGTATGGGAGTCTGATTTATGATCGTCTCTATCCTCTGCAGCGCCAAAGTTCATTTTTGTTTAGAAGTCTTCGTGGATTTCCTTAAAAAAGGAATATATTTGGTTATATCACATTGCATAATGATTTATGTGGTTATGTTGCACATTTATGAGTGAGATAAAAGGACAGATTTAATGACTTTACTCACTGGGCTTCTTCATGAAGAATGACAACATCCTCCTCTTCGCTGTCTGAGATTACCATCACTTCATCTGTACACACACACACACACACACACAGGGTTTTTGTGTTTCATGAGGACTCTCCATAGACATGATTTTTATACTGTACAACTTTATATTCTATCGCCTAAGCCTAAATCTACCCCTTACAGAAAACACTGTATTTTTAAATTTTCCAAATAAATAAATAAATAAAAATAATAGTATCATTTATAAGCCATTTACCTCAAAATTTGGTCCCCACAAAATCAAAAATTTCAGGTTATACTATTCTTGAGGGGACATGTTGTCCCTACAACATACAGAATATATGGACCATACACACACACTTATTTTTTTGCCAGACAATTCCGTCTCAGACTTCAGAATATATATATATATACTCTACCACTCAAGTTTGGGATCAGTAAGACTTGTTACTTTATATTCTTAGAAAAGATTTATATTTTGAATAAATGCTGTTCTTTTTAACTTTTTATTCATCAAAGAATCCGGGAAAAAGTATTGCAGTTTCCCCCCAAAAAATATTTGGCAGCACAACTGTTGCCAACATTGATAATTCTAATAATAAATCAGCATATTAGAATGATTAGAATGAATTGTAATAGTGTGTCTACAATTAATCTACAACACAAAAACACGTCTGACACAGTACCTGTTTTTCTGTCCTCTGTCTGAGGTTCATCCTCTTCATCCTCATCGAGTGCCCACGAGTTCACAATGCCCTCACCTACCTGTGCAGTTCCCATGGCAACAAGAACAGGAGAAGGAACACTGGCTCTGGGGTCAAGGGGTAATATTCAGGTAAAATAATTTATCTGGCACAGCAATAGGATATACAGTATAAGACAATATTCCTTTAGCATTTCATGCATCTCCACTGAGACATCACTCTTGTACTTCTGCATTTCTAAACAAGATGTTAAAACATTCTCAATCAACATGAGTTTTTCTAAAACTATCTTTAAAGATGCTGTATGGGCCAGTAGATACGCTTCTGTGGTAGTTTCTGTTCTGTTCACAATGTCACTGGCAGTCTCTTTGACATCTGTCATCTCCACCGGGGCGTCGTCTCTCTTAAGGGTCGTGATTCGCTCTTTGGGCATGGACTCAGCAAAGCCAAACTTTCCACCCTCCTTTCTAAAAGTACAAGCATACATATACAGGTGCATCTCAATAAATTAGAATGTCGTGGAAAAGTTCATTTATTTCAGTAATTCAACTCAAATTGTGAAACCCGTGTATTAAATAAATTCAATGCACACAGACTGAAGTAGTTTAAGTCTTTGGTTCTTTTAATTGTGATGATATTGGCTCACATTTAACAAAAAAAATTTCCATACATCAATGGAAAGCTTATTTATTCAGATTTCAGATGATGTATAAAGCTCAATTTCGAAAAATTGACACTTAAGACTGGTTTTGTGGTCCAGGGTCGCATATACATATATACTTAATTACAGATATTTTATTAATATGTAATCACAAAAAAAAAAAAAGTAAATTAATTTATAATCTAAATGTTAATTATTTTATTGCTTTATATTTGCTGTAATAAGACCGAAAGAGTGATAAAAGGACTTTTTTAATTAAAAAAAAGACAACTTCTAAATTCTAAAAAAATTCTAACATCTAAATTTAAATACAAAAAAAATAAACATTAAATGGTTACAAACAACATTAAACATTAAAAAACAACATTAATCTACACACACATCATACCTGATTTTTCTGTCATTCTCTAAGGCTTTGTTGATGAGCTCTGTAATTTCAGAAACTTTTACGCTTGCTATTTTGCTGCATCTTAAAACCTGCAAGAAAACAAAACGCTCATGATAAATCAATGAAATGAACTAAAAACAAATAAAAATATATAACTAACACACACTCTTACCTGGTCTTTGAGAAGCATGATTCCTCCACTAGACTGAATGGAGCAGATCTCTCGATGTTTGTTCATGGCTATCACCAATAATCCATCCTTCACTCGCTCTTCTCGTTCACAAGGGTCCACAAGCAAATAAGAGCTTAGGAAGAAATAACAAGTAAGCAAAGAATGTAGAAAAATCATTTCTTAAATGTCAACTGAAAACAAAAAGGCAAAATA